ACCAGACGATGTTAACGTGTTCTAGTTTTGACCTGACAAATGTCTTATATGCGGTCAGTTTTAGTCTTCAATGAGCGAAAAGGATTGCGTTTAATGTATCCTAGTGCTTTACACGCACTGAACACGGTGTTAATGATGTGATCATTCTAAGTGAGGTCATCCGCAAATGTGACTCCTAGGTACTTGTCAATTCTAACTTTCTTTATGTCTGCTCGGTTCAGTGTATATTTCCTTGATGATGGAGATGGTCGGCTGGCACATGATACATATTTAGTTTTATTTGTATTTATGTTTTGTTGCCATATATTGCGCCAAAGTGAAATTACGTTCAGAGGGTGTTGTAATAGCGCTCAGAGCCTCTGTAATAGCGAAGATAAACAACACAGTCCTCTGCGAAGAGTATTATGTAGGATGATAAGTTGAGTGGGAGGTCACTTATATATATTATAAATAAAAGTGATCCCAGGACGCATGCCCTGTGAAACCCCACCACTTGGGGGAGTTTTTTTCCCCAACATACGTAGCTTGCTTACGGTTAATAAGAAAATTAGCAATCTACTCTATGATAACGGGATGAATGTTGAGTTGAGTTAGCTTATAGACCAAGCGTTGGTGGGGTGCGGTATCGAAGGCTTTAGCAAAATTAATAAAAATGGCATCAGTAGTTTTTGAAACATGGATATTGTCGTGCAAATTAGTAGCGAATTCAAAAAGTTGGGTTTCGCAAGAAAAGCCTTTTTAGAGCGCAGCTCTTAGGGGCCCGTTTCCGGCTTGAGCGGCGTCGGCGTCGCCGTCGCCGTCGCCGTCGGCGTAACCGCGCGGTGCATCATGGGAAATATCCCATAATGCACCGCGCGAGCCCCCCACCGGGGTCACGTGACTTCGTGGGGAGGCACGTGACCCCCCGAGGTCACGTGACCCCCCGAAGTCACGTGACTCCCCTGAGGTCACGTGACCCCCTCCTCGAGGTCACGTGACTCCCCTGAGGTCACGTGACCCCCTCCTCGAGGTCACGTGACCCCCCGAAATCACGTGACCCCCGCCGATGTCGCGTGACCCCCCGATGACGTCATTGACACTGATGATGTCACCGGCATCCACATCGTCATAGTCATCATCACTGATGTCATCATCAGTGATGACGATGACGATGCGGATGCCGGTGACGTGATCAGTGATGATGACGATGACGATGTGGATGCCGGTGACGTCATCAGTGATGATGACATCAATGATGATGACGTCATCAGTGTCGATGACGATGTGGATGCCGGTGACGTCATCAGTGATGATGACGATGACGATCTGGATGCCGGTGACGTCATCATCACTGATGACGTCGTCAGCGACGTCACTGATGACGTCACCGACATTCGCATCGTCATCGTCATCATCACTGGTGAAGTCATCAGTGACGTCACTAATGACGTCATCAGTGACGTCAGTGATGACATCATCGGCATTGGGGGTCACGTGACCCCCAAAGGTCACGTGATCCCCACTGGTTAGTCTAACCCCCCCCCCCCCCCCAGCGCCCTTCCCTCCTCCTCAAGAGCTGCGCTCCAATTCGGCGTTACAGGGAGTTGTAAGCGGCTTTCACTTTTTTGAAGTCATGTTGGTTAGCACAGAGGAGGGGATGGGAATATATAATATTCCATAAAAATATATAATATGCTCCGTAATTTTACGTGGTATGCTCGTTAAAGCTATTGTTCTATAATTACATACGTTATTTTTATCTCCAGATTTAAAAGTTGTCAACACTCTCCCAGGCCTCTAATTTGCCGGAAGGTACATTTGTTCTACCGACTGTTTAAAAATAAGAAAAATCAAGTGAGAAGATTTTGTTCGGGTTGTTTTAAGAAGTTTTGGACATATTTCGTCTCCTTCTGGTGCATAACTTGGGGAAAGTCGGTAATGCTGGTCAAAATTTATTTTTGTGTAAAGGTGACAGGCTTACATAATGCTGTAGGCGAAACAAATATTGAATCACGTGGTAAGGGTAACAGTTGCCTGGTAAAGACATATCCAAAATACTTATTAAACACAGTTGCTGATTCGTGGTGGGAGAGCTCCTGTCCATGATCATTATAGATACTGGGAAAAGTTCGCATTTGCTTGGGACTAACGGTCTTCCATATGTTTTTTAGCATTAGTTTTAAATAAATTTAGGAAATCACTCATGTAATACAGGTTTTTCGCTTTTTTAATTGTTAATTTGTATTTCTTGTAGCACTGGTTATACACAGACCAATCTGAAGCAGAGTCACTTAACTTAGCTTTCAAAAAAAGACGCTTCTTTTTGTTGAGCAATCTCTTTAGTCGGTTAAGACCATGGCCGTTTAGCGCACGTTTTAGTACAATTGTTGGAAGGAAGGCAGATTTCAGTCTTTTAAACTTTGTTTTTAGCATATTCCAGTTAGCTTTAACGGATCTTTTATCAAAAACACATAGGTATGTAGAAGCGAAACCTCAAAAAGAAGCAACAAGGGCGTTTTCGTTGATCTTACTGTAGTCCCAAAATTAAAAAAAAAAAAAAACAATATTATTATCACTGATTTTATCAAGAGCATGAACTGTCTCAATTTTATAAAGGGAAGACACAAAAACTAAGTCTAGAGTAGCATTGTTTCTTTTGGGCTGAGTCACTTCATAAGAAAGTTTAAAAACGTTTACTATATCAAGAAAGTTTGAGGTTTCAATTAGGTTTGAACATAAGGTTTAAATTTTTCCTTCTTTGCTGGTAACATCAGGGTAGTTGAAGTTCCCGCCTAACATTATACGGAAATCAGGGTAGCGATATTACATACTATAAATGCGGTCGAACAATTTTTCTGAAATACTGCTGTCCCGTCCCGGTGGGCAGTAATAGGCTCCCAGAATTAAAAAAAAATCGTAAGGGTGCAGGCGAGCTGGTGAATATTAACCATGTTGAGTTAAACTGAGACTGGGGTAGAGAAGAAACATCAAAACGTAGAAGGGACAGAAAATAGACAGGACGATGTCTCAAACTCAGCTCTCATTTATTTAGTCTACCTCCTCATATTGTCTCAATAACAAGGTCATCTCCACCAACACAAAAGGACGAAGTCTCTACAGTCCAAGCGCCACAGTCTCCATCACACAATGCAAGAATAAGAACGTCCTTTTGTGCTGGTGGAGAGAATTTTGTTATTGAGACTATATAAGGAGGTGGACTAAATAAACGAGTTAGCCGAGTTTGAGACGTCGTCCTGTCTATTTTCTGTCCCTTCTACGTTTTGATCTTTCTTCTGTACCCCAGTCTCAGGTTAATTCAACATGGTTAAATCCTAAAATAAGTCGCGAACGAGCGAATTCTAATCGGACCCAAACTAGTTCCAGGACGCTATCTGCAGAGATTGGTATCGCAATAATAGATTTGCCGACTGCAATGTACGATCTTTACGAAACAGATAGAATGACTCACTCAGAAGCAGCTCCTCGTTTAGCACTTGAGGAGTTAACCATGTTTTGGTGCCAATTTTATTCTGAGCTTCGTCGTTCATTGGGTCTCTGGTATCGTTAGCCACGATTAGCTGTCTCGCGTACTGCGGGAAAGCGAACTCAGAGAGCTTCTTTGCTTGTAGTGTAGAGTTTTCTGAAACGCGCTTGGGAAAGCCACTCGCATAGATATCTACGGAGGGGGCTCGGCGAACGACGGGGCTGAGCATTTGTTTAGACCTAAAGGGACACAGACTGAGCCGTGACATTAAGCACGGCGTAAGTATGGGAAACGTCACGCTTAGTGCCACATCGCGGACTGTTTTTTTTTTGTTTGTTTGTTTAGGTCTGAGCCTATTTCCAGCAGCCTCGTCTTTTGTCAAGCTCCTTTTGTAGAAAAATTGTATAAAAATTCAAAAGCGCAAACACCAAGGAAAAGAAGAGGGGACAGGACAGAGCGCTTTTCTTTTCTTTTCTTTTCTTTTCTTCTTTTCCTTGGTGTTTGCGCTTTTGAATTTTTATACAATGTGTAGCCAACTAGCCCAACAGTTAATTTTGATTCAATATCCTTTTGTAGACGACAGCAATTTGCTTTTTCAGCTTTCCAAGTGCCTTGCGGGGATGTAGACGAACTGGTCTTTTAACGTGAAACATTTTTTTTTGACTAGGTGGTCTGCATTTCGTGAAGCCCGAAAGTGAAGCCTGGATAAAAGCGTGGCCGCGAGGTTCGACACTGATTGGTTAACGAATGGGAGAGGAAGAGTGAGGTGCACGAAGCCGATTGGTTAACAAGGAGGTCATATGACCAAGGGTAGAGAGGAGAAAGTTAGGCGAGAAGGCGAGGTGAGTGAGGAGGAGTGGGCTAAAAGGTTCTGGAAGATCACCAGGTTTATCATTTCAAGTGTACGTATCTCACGCGTTAAATTATCTGATGAAGAGTGCCGTGAACGTAGATGCCTGGCTGAAGAGGCTAGACGTGCTGCTAAACGAATTTCTAGGACTGCAGACCAGCGACTCACAGTTGCATGCGTGAAAATCAGAGTATCGCTAAACGTTCGTGATACTGGAACTTTTTGCATATGCAACAAACTTTGCCCCACATTTTTAGAGTGTACGCAAGGCACTGTCGACAAACACGAATTGCTCTGCGCAAAGGGACGGAAGCACCACTCATTCTAGCAAGAAAAAACAACAAATCAAGCAGTCGGGCATATTGGCCGGCGGAACATCGGACCTCCAATTGAATTGCGAAAGGGGATAGGAACCCCAATCACCGGATGAGTAGCGGAACGACTTATCGAACCGAACGGATTCCATCCGGCCAGAGTGATTCTCCATTCCGAAAGCCAGTCAGGAACATGCATTACCACGCGTCTGCTGCGCACATGGGGAAGACAAGCCCTCTTTCCGAACCTCGCGAGTCGATCCGAGGCACCAGCCGGAGAACTCTTACTCTCGTACACGCCTCACGGAAGTGACGGCGTTCGATGCCCCGCAGACTGGCAACGTAGCGCGCCAGACAGCCTGCGGCACGCGTGCATGCGGTTCGAAGAGGGGTGCGCCCGGTGGCTGCGCATCCAGAAAAGCCGCCTCCGTCGAACCAAACGAGGGATCAATATTGACACACGAGGCCCCTCCGAGGAAAGCTTCTTTTCGTATCCGTTCTTTCGCGTTCCTTAGCGGCTTTTGGGGTATACGAGGGAAGGAGGGCACGTCACGGCGAAACGGCTCGGCTCTCGCGCTGGCTGGCTTCGGAGCGGCTCGGGCTCGCTAGGGCCCGGTGTTGTGGGGGCGCCTTCGACGCCCGACGCCGCCACCGCGGGTGTCTATCCTGGGCGTGCACGGTTGGTCTGCCGTCGCTGCTTCCAAGAGCTGGGGATAGGGCAGCTTCCGCTGTCGGTGCCTCGGCGCCGTGCCAGAAAAGCGCCGGCCGGCCTCGGCGGACGCTTAGCAGTGAATCGAGAGGCTGGGCCGCAGCATGCGACGCCACAGCGGCAGTGCGATTCCCACATGTGAGTTGGCTTCTTTTCTCGTTCGCGACGAGGGCTTCACTGATCGCAATGCGACGACCGGCTAATTGAGCCCGCCGTCCGCGAGATTAGGCCGTATATATAGAGCGAGGCTGGGAAGGGGTAAGCATTTAGTGGTAGAGGCAAACAAGTTTAGAAGATTGCCAAGCGCCTTTCTTTCTTTTTGTGCGTACACTCCATGTAGTCCTACTTCACCACAGTGCACTAGAAACGCCAATCACTGTCCCTCCTTTAATAATCTGAGCTAACGTCAAATTTGATCGCTATCACATGTGTAAACGACGTAGCGTTTCAAGTAGCGCCTTTTTGACACTGAGGCTCCGTCCCCATTGGAGTGCGATACATTCTGCTCGCCACTATCAGTGGCAAAACTTTAATGATATGCGTTCCAAGTTCTTCGTAGGGCAGCATGCACACAGAACTAGAAGCTTGAAATTTTCAAAAAATCATTTATAACGTATGAATAAGATAACGGTTTGTTCTGAAACTGACATCGGGTTCGAACCGCTGGCACTACAAATGGACGGAGAGTGAGCGTTCGGCGGTGCGTGGTTTTGATGATAATGCAACTAATGTAAAGTTGCAAGCGAGCTGGACAAGAACGACAAAAATGATATCTGGACACGGGGAACAAGGAGGACAAAGGACAAACACAAATCTCCAACCACAGCTTGGTGACTGGTGCGCGACCGAAAAATTCCGAAAACTTTGTAAATAGTTTTGGGGACATGCTATGTACGGGACTACGTGGTACACTCTAAGGAATACAACTGGAAGGTTATAAGTGACCGGTGGTTGTAAGGCAGTCTGCGCCTGTTGCGGTGGCAACGGGGAGGGATCACTGCAAATTGATGCCTACTAACTGTATTTCACAATTTTATCTTCGTCAGTAGGCGCACAAAATTGACTGTGCTATTTAATTTTCGTTTTGTCAAAGGAAGCCTTCTTCATTAGCGTCATTTTAAAGAATATTGTGTATTTCATTTCAAACGGGAGTTAGGTACTTGACACAAGAAAAGTAAAGGGAGGGTCACCTTGAGATCCTCCTTTTTTAGAGTGTGCTGTTTAGACGCAGAACTGTCTGCACAAACGGTATCCGTGGTATAAAAAGACAAGTAACAGAGATTCATATCGTTCCTGCCATCCGCCTGCCATCCGCCTTTTTCCAGGATTTCTAGATTACATTTGTTCGTAAACGCCCTAAGTACACGCCTCATCATTTGTGAAATATCGTACAGCGACCGGTGTACTGAAGAAATCTGCTATCAGAATGCCATCCGATCCACGCAGAAGAAGAAGAGGGGACGAAAGTGGGATCGGACGATTGGAAAGTCGTTACTTTTTCTCCGCGTCTCTTTCCGTCTCTCTGTGAGTGACCCCTGACAAGAGGCTTTCTTTTCGCCAACTCGTGAACCTTGGTGCACGCTGACGTCTCATGAAGATAGTACGGTCACTAAAAATAGCTCGACCCGTTCAACTAAAACTCTCACACACACACAGAAGAGGACAAGCTGATGATATTATCCTTGCAAAACATTCGTAGCAATAAATAAACGAGTCTTCAACTATATATTCAGGCCAACGGGGTTGTCAGTCCCACACACTGTGGCCCAGAATCTTTACCACTTATGCCCGAAAACTTTTAAGCACCTGTGGACTGAAGGCCTGTACAAAATCGGGGAATTATTTTTCCCTATTCCGACCCCGCGCCTCCACGGTTCGTCCATTCAATGAAGACCTTCGCTTCGAAATCCTTTTATTTGCCCGTCAAATAAGGGTATTATTTAGACTAATAGGCATTAGAGCTTCGAATATAATGGACCTTTTCCGAGAAGCGTTCTGTGCACGCGCGAACGCCGGATGCTAAGCGGCGGAAGTCGATACGAAAAATCGAGGAAAATCGGAAGGAGGCTGTTGATCAGCGAGTAGAACACGTAATTGCAGCATATATATAACCGTGTTTCACAAAAAAAGAAAGTGGACGGAAAGAAAAACACGACGTTTGGGTCGTGCTTTTCTTTCCCCTCTTTAAAGTCGCGTTGGGCACGCGTTGCAGCTCAGAGAGCGAAGAAACTGGTAGCGCTACTCCCATTATCAATTGGTAGCGCAGGTAGGTCACTTCCTCAATTTTTAGTTCGTGCAGCCACCGCCTGGTGCCGTTGGTATGTGGAAAAGGTCCATTGAAGGCGTACCGGGGTGACAAGCAGGCCCTCTATTAGCGACGTGCGCGACCAGAAACATCTCTGGGGTCGAAGCTCCCGATTGGCTGAACCATACCTTTTTCTATCCTGATAATGCCTGCCCAATCACCGGCTCACGGCGAGAAAACTCCTGCCACTCATGGCGAGGCAGAGGCAAATCATGCCTATCTCGTCGAGGCCAATCCTGGGCGTGACGTCACGAAGGGAAATCATGAGAGGGCGTCCGCCGAAACATCTCGGAGCTAATACTCCGTTTCACTACAACACATTGTACACAAAGAAAAAAAGTATGTCTGTTTATTTTTTTGCAGAACACGAGACGACGAATAATGGCGAACAGTAGAAGCATCCCAGTGAATGAAGAAGCTACAAATAAAGTTATCATTATCATCATTGTCACCACCGAAATGCGATTGTACCAAAAACTCCGATGTGTGCAGACAGAATGAGTATAACGTTTCACTCGCTCATTGTCTCCGCTCTCATCACATGTTTCAGATCGAAAGGTATTATCAACTTTTTCCTTCGCTAAGACCCTTCGATTGCTTGCCGTGATTGATACCGTGTTCTGCAGTGAAACAAACTCACATACGTTTTTTTTAGTGTGTAGTTTTACTTTACGATGTACTGCAACGGACGCTATGAGCCACCAGAGCCAATCCGTAGTTTTGAACAAGTCACGTGACCTTCCGGCTGGGCGGAGCGACGTCACGTGGCCCGTGTGAGGCACTGGATTGGTTAATCGTCTGCGATACATCGTAGAGCCGCGATAAATGCGCGAATATATATCGACCATTTATATCTAAATATAGATTCGCCAAGTATTGAGAACAAAGCTGAACAACTTGAGCTTGTGTCGTTGATCCGCGATCCTCATATCACCGTGATTACTGAGACGTGGCTTTGTTACCGCATCGGTGATGATAGCGTTGTCCTCGAACCACATAAAATATTTCGAAGAGATCGCACTTTGCGTGGAAAGGGCGGGGGGGGGGGGGGGGGGGGGGAGAGAGAGAAAAAGAAAAAGGGGGAGCGCTGTTAAAAAAAAAAAATAATGCTGAGGCTGGGCTTTTAAAACAAATCGATGAACGTGAAAGCTTGTGTTAAAAAGTTAACGACTGGGGGAACGTTTTTATTTTTTTATGGTGAATGCGTGCCTCTTAATGCCCCTGTTCAATTGTTACATAAATTGTTCGATCACACGTCTTCACATCGTAACAATAAAATTTTTCTTGTCGGTGACATCAACCTTCTCGATTCAGTTGGGCTAAATGTTCATCTGGCTCATGCAAAAACCCTGAAATATTTTACGATACTATGATTACCTACGACCTTGTACAGGTCCTCAGTGAGGTCACGCTTGAGCACGGGTCGAGAGATTTTATTTTATACCTTTTTTTTATTACTCGAAGTTTTACCTAATGTTCAGTTTCAGTTGAACACGAATGTTCTGACCACAAGCTTATTTATTGTCGTTGTTATTTAAGAGTCAAACAACAAACAAGAAAGATAGAGTAAAAATTGACAATGTTTTTTTTTTTAATCTAACGATCAGTGCATTATTAATTATTTAGAAAACAATTTTAACAGTTTTCCGCAGCCGGACGGTGATGTTTTTTTGTTCTTTTTACGAAATTCAAAATAGCGGGCAGTTATTGCTTAGATATGTTTGTTCTCAATGTACGTAAGGGCTTTTAAAAAAAAGAATCCACAGATTAATCAATTGATCAATCACCTGAAGTGTAGAATTAAGTGCTTGAAGAAAGGGGGGGGGGGGGACAGAAACGATTTTAATTTTCCATAATTACAGAGTGAATTGAGGACGCATGTTCAGCAAGCGAGGAGCTATTATTTTTCTGCTACGCTCCCCAATTTTATAAAGAATGACCCTGAGAAATTGCGGAGGTCGTACCTTGGCAAAATAAGAAAGTAAGTTGATCAGATTCCAGCAAATGACGTTTTGGATTCTGGTCATGGTGAAATTGCTCAGCATTTCAGTGCGTATTTTCATTCAGTTTTTTTTCTTACCCTGATCCTCACGAGTATACAGTCAAGACCCTTTTTCAAACGCTGACTTTATATGTTATCAAGGTGTTTATTTAATGTTACTAAACCTAAAAGTGAAAGCTTAATTCGCGCGGTCCAGGCTGCATACCGAATTGCTTCTTGTGCCATTACGCTGACATTTTGGCGAAATTCTTGACTGCCGTCATCCGTGTTTCTTTTTCTTCCCGCGTATTACCCAATGACTGGCTTACAACAAGTGTTGTACCTGTTTTTAAAAAATTACTCTCAGAAAAAAAGGTGTATTCTTACACCTTTTGTCCCATATATTACACCCCAAAACTTCTATTCGACATACAGCGCCCTATAGTCGAACAGACGGTCCCAAATTTTACGAGGGGCTTAATAGCCGTGTGGCACAACTTATTAAAATTCAGGGTTTTCTTGACCCTACTGTAAAAACTCGGTGTTTTCTTTATGTGGTCCTCGATGCATACTTTAGCTATTTAAAAAGTTATATCGCACCGTTATCAAGTCCCTCGTAAAATTTGGGGCCGTGTGTTCGACTATGGGGCGCTGTACGGTCGAAATGAAGTTTTGGGGTGTATTATATGGGACAAAAGGGTGTACGGTGATACCCTTTTTTTAGAGTAAAGGGGACCCTTGTCACCGAACAATTGCCAACCCATCTCGTTAGCGTGCACGCGTTGCAAGCTGCTTGAACATAATATTGGTAACGCCATTAGCGAATATTTATGCGCCAACAACGTACTTGCA